AGCGAGGGGTGCCGCCAGGAGGCGGCGCGGGCTCTGTCCAACCTGTCCTGCAACAACGATGTGGGGCAGGGGCACCAGATGGTGGAGCAGGGGGCGGTACCGCTGCTGGTAGCGATGATGCAGGTGGGTGGGGCCGGGTGGGGTGAGGGGTGCAGTGAAGGGGTGAGGTGGGGCCTGTGCTGCGGCTTGGAGTGGTGGCTGGGGCGTTGGGTGGCGGGCTGCTGCTCTGAGCGGGCTCGCCCCCGCTCCCCGCCCTGGCCTGCCCTCGCGAGCGTCCAACACGAACGCGCCTACCCACCCTGCCTACCCCCACGCCCTGCCCTGCACCTGCACCCTGCCCCTGCCCTCCCCTTGCTCCCCTCCGGCTCAATGCGCCACCCATCCCTGCCCTTGCCCTCCTCCGCAGTCGGCGTGCCACGCAGGCAAGGAGGCGGCGGTGGGCGCCGTCTCCAACCTGGCCTGCATCCGATCCCACCAGCAAGCCATCCTGGACGCGGGAGCGGCGCCGCTGCTGCTGCAGCTGCTGCAGCCGTCGGCGGGGCCGGGGTGCCAGGAGGCGGCGGCCCGCGGCTTTGGCAACCTGGTGAGAGCGGGCGCCTGGCTTGCCTGCAGGCGCCCGGGGGTGTACCGTGGGTGTACCTCCTCAGGCGCCGCCTGTACGCCCGCCACACACCGCCCCACACCCAGCCTCCCACCGCCTGCCTTGCCCGCTGCCGCCGCCGCTGCTTCCCGCTGCCCCTGCCCGCGGCGCCACGCCTCCTGCCTCCCCCACTCCCCCTGCGGCTCGACCCCTACGGCCCCCTGCCTCCCCTCCGCCGCCTGCGGTACCCACACACAGGTGTGCGACTCCCTGTCCGACACGCTGCGCCCGGTGGCGTACCAGGCGGTGCCGCTGCTGGTACGGGTGATGGGGTCGGGCGGCGACGGTGCGCGGCAGGCCGCCGCCCGCGCCATCTCCAATCTCGTCTGCTCAGACGTCACGGTGCAGGTGCGGTGGGTGTGGGTGGGTGTGGGTGGGGCGGGCTGGGGGGGGAGGGGGGGAGTGGGT